GTTACTTTACTACCACTGTTGCTTATAAATCCAGAAGGTGAGTGATGGCTTCTATGTGTCCGGATGTCTTTTCAGATTTCCCTTGGCCTCTGGTTGCCATCAAAACATCCTCCAAAACCAAAACACGAAGTCAGGACCCAACTGAGCACAGCACTACCCCTTCCTACTGTCAAGCTCCCTTTTCAAAGACCGAGGAAAGCAGGAGCATCTCCATGTACACAATGGGTGTCCTTCAAGAACTGACAGGTGTCGAAAAGTTCTTCACCCGACCAATAGGTTTTGCCTTTCGGGCGACCACGGTTTTTGAACATGGCACGCAACAGTCGAGTCTCAAAGAGGTTCTGCTTTCATCACACTGTGGCAGAATGCGTTTCAGACCTCTGTCCCTATCAACAGGATGTCTGGTACTGTCCAGAAGTTGAGGAGGCTTTGCGGCTGGTGAATGTGTTGAAATGTTACCCATGACTCCGTGTTTTCTCGCAAGATGGTGAGCACTTCAGCTGTCCTTAGTTGGTGCCCTCTAACTTGAGTCCAAGAGCACATGCGTGACTAGTTGAACAACACTGACTTACGCTGCGGAGTTTCATCAACCTTGTGACTATTTGCCAGCTGCTATGAACGGTTGAGCTCAAACTGTATTGGTATCTGGAAAAATGCGGCAAATTGCTTGCTGATTGCACTTGCAGCAGTTCCCAGGCGGGGTGTGTGTGTGTGTGTGTAGCAAGTCAGATGAAGAAGAGATTCGGATGATTCTTCAACCACGTCCAGCCGTAAGTCGCACGTTACACTGCACAAGCTAGTTGAGCGACAAGAAATGTGAAAGACCTGTTCTAGGACATCTGCACTTTCTTCAAAGATCTCCCAAAAGAACAGGCACAGAATGCTACTTTTCTGCCGCGCCCTGGACGGTCTATCACAATGCATGCCAGAGGTCGGCGAATTCATAGGGCTACGAGCGCAAACTCGCAGGAAGGCCCCAACCCATTGTTGAGCTTGTCGAAAATAGACTAAGTTCACAGTCTGTACGATTCTTGCACGCAAATAAGGCAATGGACAAAGCTCATTGGGCTTTTGCTGGAAGGCTTCTCCAAGCACTGCTATTGCACTGCTTTTCAGGTTCACTTATTATTTGCACATGCGCTGTGCTGCGGTCTGTGCCCTCCAACTTCCAGTGACACGGCGTGGCACGCACTTTGTCGCGATAGGGAGCCTGCTCTGTCATTCCAGATTCTCTCCCAGAGTTGACTGCAAACAAGAATGAATAATTCATCTATGACTGCAATGTCCCTAGAGTCACTTCTGCCGGTTTACACAAGAATGACCTCTTCTCCTATATTTACTATACACTGCATCGATAACAGGTTCCTGCTTTTTATCGGTTCACAGACCAAATCCCTTCAGGATGGTCTGCCGTAGCATTGCCGGTTTAGCCGACAGAGGCGCAGGTCACTACGCTGGTCAGGATACAATGCGTGCGACAACCTGTCATATGCCAAACTGTGAGAAACAGAGTCAAACACCTCTTTTTTGCATGTAATGCAGTACTTGTCGAATCATGAAGTAGGCAAGAGGGATAAGGATGACATCTTGCAGACAACTTCGCCTTGCGAGGGTCACCTGCAATTGCGGAACTAGGGGACCCTGCCAAACACAGCAGCATCCAAACCTCACGCTTGGGCTCAACACAACTGAAGCAACAAAAATGTTGCCTGCACGCAGCATCTTGGATTAGAAACTGTCACAATTGGGGTTGCTTTCTTGTCTAACCTCAGCCTCAAGTCTTCACATCAATGTGCGAACATATTTTGAGTTCCACACTGGCCGGGAAAAATGGGCGCTGCTCCCAATGATGGCTTGGTTCTGGAGCGGACCCGACAAAGGCCAAGATCCATCAATGACGGGCCCCTTTCAAAGGCCACTAGTGATTCAAACGCCAGGGATCCATTCTGTTGAGTACATGCCAGTTGCCTGAAAGGTCCAGCAAAACACACTGTACCTTGAGTTGGTTGAGGGACAACCTAAAGAGTCATGGACATATCTACATGGACAAAAAGCTGGTGTGCGTGCTTGGCCAAAGTTCTCATTTTGGTAGACAGAAAATGGAGCATTCAAAAGATACGGTCGACTCCCATCAGGCACCAGTGATGTCTGGTTCAGCGGCACGAAGACGCCCACAGGTGCTCGGCCGCTGAAGTTCAGGATCGAGTAGACGACCCAGCCAGTGGCGCCTCAACACATGGCTCGTTTTTGGAGGCTCCGAACTGGTCCTCAGTTGAGAACTGGTCCATGTTCTGGTGTGTATTTCTTGCATCACGATTCAGAGGTGAAACGAATGAAAGTTCTTGAAGGTTTGTGCATGGTGATCTCACACGAATGTCACTGTCGGTCGACCCGACCTGAAGGTGGGCGACCATTGATTGGCACTGAATATGCATCGCTCCTGCAGTGCACAGGTGATCGTGCGCGTTCTGGTTAATGGTTGAGGCGTTCTGGTCAATGGAGAATTGAACATCTTCCATGTCAATCCCCAGAATCCCTTATGGTCGATACTTCTACATGATTCTGATTTTGTCATGGGGTTTGTCGCGGGTTTCCACCGGACCTTTGCACCCACCCGACTCTGCTCCAGCCTACAGCATGCCTCACCGCCATCTGCCTTTGGCACTCTGCCTAGGGCCTGGATGGGCTGCCACTGCCACAGCCGCAAAGGAAAGACTCATCAAATCTGTAGATCTATATTAGGCTGTGAAGAGCGGGGTTGTAGGCTGTAGCTAGTAAGCAAGAGGCAGCTACTTCATGTAAAGACGCATATGGCCAAAGGGTTCAAGGAAAGTTCTCCACCTGAGGGAAGCTTCCACGAAGAATTCTTGAAACTGTTCCGCGTTTTGTTGGGAAATTGTATAAACATGCATATCTGATATGGCTTGGTCACCTCCTTTTGGATTCTGCGCTGCTGGTCTAGCCTCTGCACCCATTCGCTCTTCGCAGCTATCCGCCCAGAAGACTTCGTAGTCGGTCACATTGCCCTGCCATACTGCTGCTAGTGTGTCTCGGCTCAGCAACATGACCACGAAAGGCAAACAAGGAAGTCTGAAATGTCTGCTCACCAACATCCCAAACTTGGCAGTGTCCCTGTTGCTACACACCATACTGGCACTATGTGTTCATTCAAAGCAGTCCGAATGCTGGCAGCCTCATTCACAGAAGCGCCCACCAAAGCAGGTCCCAGGTGAATTTCTCCTCGAGCAATGCCCTGGCAGCTAGCATGAATGCAGTTATTCCGAAGAACATGGGCATAAAGACAAGCATGGCATCTTGGAGCTCTAAAATCAAGAATAGTGTCACATACATACATGTATGTATATATATATAGAGAGAGAGAGAGATTTATATACATACAACTTGTGCACAATGATCTACAGTCAATCGGGGTGTAAGGGTGTGAAGATGCCTCTGCTAACCATTTCCGTCACCATGTCACATACCCCTCCCCGCCTCTCCAGACCCCGTGTCCATCCAGATTGCCTGAAGCGTCCCATTCTCTACGTGACATCGAATGCGACAGCCGACTTAGATCATGCACCCATGCAGCAGCATGCCTGGCCTAATGAGACAAACGCACCTTCGTTGGTTCATCGCGCAATCAGGGAACCCTCTGTGGGAGCCTCCCCACTCTACAAAGCTCCCATCTCACTCTCCCTTCCCACCTCGCAGGTCAAAGGAATTGCACAGCCTGAAACAGCTATAAGTCCAAAAAAGAGTTTCTCTGTGTGAGTCATTTGCTTGAGACTTCCACCCAATACGTGCCTGTCATCAGAGGATCAACTGTGCAAGCTGGACCTTGGGATCATGCTGAGGTGAAGAATTGCAATGCCACAAAGGCGGGACCAAAAAAATAAACGGAACCTTGGGACCTCGGGTTGGTTCACCTGTACATTTTTGGATGTTGAAATACCCGCGGGTGTTTGAGGTTCCAACCGGGCTGGCAGATCTTCAAGGCATAGCCTGCGGCGAATATGACCAGCACTTCGGAAACGTTCAGAGCTATGTCAGACACTTGGACACACTGCTGGGCCTGTTGTTAGAACGTACAAAATCGGACCTCGCTTCTTACCTAAGAATTCAAAATTCAAGTCAGTGGGACCCTAGTGGCGATAGAATCAGACCCAATTGATTCTCTTCTGGTGAAGATTGTTTGATTGATGGCGACTCGGCAATCCCAGCTTGGCACCTCCATAGCCTTGTGCACAGGAGTAGGTGATCTTGTTGTTGTCAAACTGGTCCTGTGTCCTGGGGAGGGGCTTGTCAATTGAGAAACCATCGGCGAGTGCCTGCAACTGTCAACATGCTATGTACATAGTGCAAGCAAGTAATTGGCGGTTGGAATCATCTTCTGACTTGGAATTGTGATTGAGTGACTCGATGTTTGATACAAACAACATACTTTGCCTCGCAACTTGCACCTCCAACCATAGCATCTAAAAGTGCTTCGTAGCGTGTTTGGCAGTACACCACACCACAACTGCTCAAAGTATCTTCGGAGTATTGGATGATCAATCCTTTTCGCTTGCTATTTCTCTGAGAACACCACACATTGTAGCCAGGAGGAAGTGGCGTAGGTTCGCCACCTGGATGCGTTTGCCACCGCTTTGTCACGCGCAAGGCTCAAACATGTGGCGTTCAAGTTCTCTGCTTTTCTCCAAGGCACATCCACAGAGCGGCAAGGAGCCCTGCAGCATTTGGTTCGCATCTGTGTTGGCTACGGGGCCTAGGCAAGAGGCGGCCAGTGAGTTGTTGGTTCTCCAATGCTGCCAAACTCAGTATTACTTGTATCAACAAGTCATGGAGAAAAAAACAACTCAGTCTCATAATTCTTTGTCTGCTCCTGTGGCGGTACCCTGCTGACCACAGGATACGGAAACGGATGAGGAAATAGCCCCCAAGCTCTGACATTCTAGAACCTTGCTTGTCGACATGACAAAAAAGTCTGTCAACTGTAGATCCAAGAAGCCACGCTTGCATAATGGAGTTGCTTTTCCATTCAGGTCAAACCTTTGTTCCATGCAGTCAACTGGGTGCCCAGACATGCAAAATCTGCGGAAGGACCCAGGTACGGCAACTGTCCAGGAAACAAAGTGGTTCTACCCACTGCTTGGCTCAGCCCTTATTAAGATTGTCACTGACATGTCTCGCACAGCTTCCTGAAATTGTTTTCCACTGGAACCTCTGTACTGAACTCCTTCCAACAAACATCCATGGTCATGGGTCATGACTTCTGTCTCTGCCCACTGTCCAATCTGCCAAGGTCAATCTTTCTGATCCGCCTTGCAACGAATGCTGCAAACCTGTCCAGGTGGCACCTCAATCATCCGAAAGGAGTGTGGAACTCAGAACATGAATTGGGTCTCACTGAAGTATTTGTGACATGCTTCATCCTCTTGGTCTCCAGGCACCTTCGGAGCTATATAAACAAGTAAACAAATCATAAGCATCATACTAGACAACAAGTTCTCATGGAGTTGCTTGAAGAAAGCTTATTATTTTCAGTTGGCATGTTTGATGCCTTGCCTAAGAGACACTGGTGCCAAGAGACACTGGTGCAGTCCGAGACATCGTACCTGCCCGGCTGTTTGGGGCGGGAGCCTCCCATCGTGAACCATGCAAGAAGCAAGCAATGGGAAGCTACCTCGTGCATAAATAGCAAGAACATGAAAGACAACTTAGCACAAGAATAAGTTTGAATAGGTTTGGCAGACCTGGCAAGCGTCAGGTGAGCTCTCTGCAGGCACCCAATATCGGGGCACATATGAAACTGTCAGTCACCCCAAACCACGTTTCCCCAGCAAACTTGCTCGGAGAAGACGGGTCTCTGCGGTGTGCTTGACAGGAATCATAGGAGCCGTGATTGAAAGGGGCAAAAAAAGACTCGTGTATATACAGTCGTCATTTAAAAAAAAAACACAAAGGGTTGTCCTTTGAAGATTTGGCACAGGTTCAGATTCCAAGTGCCACAGGTTTGCTGGGCTTCCTCACATGCACGGCACTGCGCCCAAATCAGGAAGCCGACATGGTTGCTCCATGATACATCCCGAGAGTAATGGGACAGCCACACACTCGTCCTGCAGGGTGGACCACTGCGGACCAGCAGATTTGATGACAGATTGCAGATTGCAAACCGTTTTGAAGGAAACGCTGGGACCCAGACCGTCTCATGCAATGTATGCAAGTTCATGGTGAACTAAAAGCAGTCCCCCCATTCGTCCTCCATCCAAACGCAAGTCTTGTTGACTCTGCCGGAGTATCCATCTGCACACCTCATTTGCCAAGTGCGTCACGGGGCAACCAAGCTTGAAAAAAGGCTCTTGTCCCAACACGTAGCAGGACAACAAGTAGCCCGTGTAGCCATTCGTTGTTTGTGGTGTGTTTAATTTGTTTCCCTCATGCAACCATTGGCTTGGAAATCCTTCCCAACCGAAGATCGCCCAGTCACTCCCAACCAAAATCTGACTTGACATAGCCATTCCCTTCAGGTGGATCGTCACAGCTGCTGATCTGGCACACCGGAGGTGTCCAAACCTCGAAGCGGGGGCCGAAAACTCACATTGATCAGAGCTGAACTGTTTGGCAGCTTCCTTCGCTGCATTTCTTGGGCTGCTGGAATTTGGACTTCTGGTGGAATCAAAAAATGTAAAAGGATTGAAGGGTCCTACTTCTTTGAAACAAGTAGTGGAGGATACAGCATTAGCTCTTGTGGTGATCGGCTGCATGCATAGAGTGTGGAAGTCAAGGGGCATACAAATCGTCACACCTCTATTGGCTTGTTGTTCCCTTTAGGGGAGGCCATCGCTCTTAGGTTGGAGGCCATCGCTCTTAGGTTGGAGGCCATCGCTATTGAAAGGCGTGAGAGTTCCGTTCAGTTCAATGGGCAATTCCACTGGTAGCGAACGTGTTTGCTGCCCAGGCACCAGGCCATTCACATCAGTGTTGCCTTGGAGACAGGTCGCTGTTGTTGCGCTGCCAGCAAAGCCATTTTGGGCCTGGCTGGCGAATCTTTACATGGCGGTTGCAGGACATAGCAACCTGAACAGTGAGACAAGTTCCGTTGCCCGTATGCTTTGGTGCACGAGAATCACTCCAAAACTCCAAGCAGTCCATGGGCGGGGCAAGCTTTCTCAAAAGACAGGTTTCCAGAAAATGGTGCTACCGCGCCTTGCACCTCACCTGACACTGGGCATTCGGCTGAACGCTGATGCAGTCGATGAAGTCAAAGCCTTGCTTCCAGACCAGCAAAGGTGAGTTACTATCTGGACTCGACTATTCGCCGTCAAAATCTACCAAACAAACAAACACGTCGGGGAAAAACTTGCAGTGCCGACCGAGGCACGGCAGTCCGATTGCTCCGCCTCGCAGGGAACCAGCTGCAAGCAGCCTTGGAGCACCGCACGGATCTCACAACTCTCCGTGGTCTCGCAGACCTGAAGCGGAGCTGGTAGAGCACAGCACATGAGGATCAGGAGCGCAGAACGGGAAATGGGAACGCAGGTAAGGTCACCGTGAAAGGACACAGGAATAGCTAAGTCTGCGAGACACACGTCGCAAGAAACATCCTATGTTGATGTTGAAAACTGATTGAATCTTACTTGCCCTGAACCTGCATGGGTGAATATGGAAGTCTCGAAGAATTGGAAATCAAGGGCAGCAAGATTATTCCAGTTGAGTATATAGTAAAGTTAGTAAAGTGCAGGGACCCTGAATGTATCTGTAAGATTTCACGAAATGCGCCCAAAACAACTCACCAGTTCATGCCAAATCTATGTCACTTGATCGGAGTGGAAGTGCGAAGTCGGGCCTTTTCTGCAAAGCCTGTGTAGCTCTGAGCACATTCCCAGCCATCAGTGCCCTGCCCTCGGTCGACACTTGCAAGTAATGTGGAAAGGAGAGAAAGCTAAGGTGAACAATCGAGGACTCGATGAATCTTCAGCTGCATGTCTTGAATGTCTGAGATGTACTCGTGATTCGAAGTTATATAAATTATATAAAACCAGCATTGCTGCCACCAAGCAGCGTCTGTAGCCGGCTGGCACAGTGCCAGGCTCATCACAAGAATCTAATCCACAGGGTGGACGGGTCCAGGCCAAGCCAGCAGGATCAGTGTTGCCATGAGGGCAATAGGCCTCATGCACAAGCGTGCTCAGAACGATGGTCTAATGTATCTATCACTATGTCACTGTGCTTGCTTGAATTGCAGAAAAAGAAAATCTGTTCTGGAGGTGCCAAAATAGGAGAGGCATGACGCCCTGACATGACAGTCAACTTTGTGGCACATGACAGTCACTCCGACGTCGACGTCGCACACGACAGTCCGCCTCTGTTTTCGACCCCGCGAAGGGGCTTCGACAGTGAACCTCACAAAAGTCTCCAGGCGCCACGGATGTGCACGCCGAGACATCCTCACGACGAGACACAAACACACCAAACTTACCAAACATGCATTGATGGCATCTGGCTACAAAAGGAGCAGCCCCCCCATCTCACCCAAGCCTCACAAGTCTCTCAGTCCTCTAGTTACATGCAGATAGCATCCGTCATGGCACATCTCAAAAGCATTTTGTGGCCCCACATTGACTTCAGACAAGCTTCGTAGGTACAGCGGTCCAAGCCGGTCAAGCTCGGCGCCAAACAGGGCACGACCTCTCTGCAGCCAGCCAGCGCCTCATGGATGGTAACGTGTCAGGGATGAAGTAAACAGATTTGCACATAGTGTTCAGGAAGATGCATAGGCCACTTTTCTGTGAGAGACTCATTGAGTGCCAGGTCACTGCAGCTGCAGAGCAGTCAGCAGTCCAGGTATCCTGAGACTGCTAAAGCTCAAGAGGGCAAAGTGTCGTATTCACTATCCACCAACTGGGCGAAAAAAGTGTACGACTTGAAGAAAGGTGCCAACATCGACACACACACACACTGCTGAGAAACGACGAGCATCCCCTAACTCACATCGATTCCGCGCAGTGCCATTGTAGCCGTTTGCGCAGACCCACTTCCCTTCAGGAGTCTTGTTGTAACCTCGAATGGCCAGACTGAGAGGAATATGTATGCCATGTTCCATCTGCGGAAGACAATCTGCAAATGCAAAGGAAACAAACATGAACGCTACTAGGAGCAAAGGGCATCGCTACTAGGAGCAAGGACGCTACGAACGGGGCTCCTGGCCTTACTACTAGGAGCGATCGGACGCTACGAACGGAGCAAAGGGCAATCTCTTGTGGGGTGCGTCAACGAGGCCACGTAGCCTGCCGGCCAAGGCGAAGGATCTGGGCAGCTCTCCAGCAAGCCTTGGCTGAGCAGATTTTCGTTGACTCGAAATGCACACACTGAACGCACAGTGCCCCTTCGGACTGGACGTCCTCATTCTCCGATTTATAGAGACAGTGTAGAGAACAAGGACTGGACATGAAGCCCTTTTTTGCGTCAGCCGGGCTGTTCATCATGGGAGTCTGAGAAAGAACAAGAGACAGGTCAGCGGGAAATAGTCGAGCTCCTGCAGTGGATTGGTGTTGAGATCCTGCAGTGCGAGGTTCCCGTGGCTGGTCAGGTGTTGTGCCGAGGTCTCTCAAATGCATTCGTCTCTCTTTGTGCCGTTGCAAGTTCAATACCTCCCGTATCAACGTTCCTAAATTTGCCAAGACTGTCTAAATGCATTGGCCTTTGCCTCCGCGATAAACCTTCTTCGCGTATCTTGAGGTGGATCTTCAAGTATCGTTCGATCGTGGCAATCCAAACAGCATACTTCCACAAGCTGTCTACCCAATGCCCGCGTGCCTTGCAAACTGCCACTGTGTGGTTCCCCGTCAGTGGCGCTTGGCAGTGGATCTGACGCATGAGAGTGGACCACGATCAGTTCTTTCTTGTAAAGAATCAAATTTTGTCAACGCTGAACATTTCGTCAACCCCACAGCACTCTCAGAATCAGGATGGGGTGTTCCTTCGAGATGACGAACTCCCAATTTCTCCTACGGTATCGGTATCGCACTCCTTGGCACTGCAAGCCCTTCAAAGATACATTCTACATCTGTCAACCTGGCGGCGTTCTAGCCAATTCTAGCCTTTGAGCTTCTGGAGAGCTGCGGTTAACTAGAGGCTCAGGATTTGGTTCACCTTGCTACTAGTACCTTCTTGTTACTAGTAGTAATGACCTCCAACCTAAAATAGCGATGGCCTCCGCCTCGTAGCTTCCAAAACATTAAACCATGTCCAATGCGGTTCCAATGGTGGTGATTTCAGACGCTCCAACGAAGCAGGATTTCGTCGCGCGTTCTCGGACCCAGCCTCGCAGGACCCCCCGGGTGGCACTTGCGTGCAACGAGACACATCGAATCTGGCGAAGGAGCTGCGGATCTGTTGTGGGTTCAAATTCCATTCAGAAGCTGTTTTGGCGTTCACCAGGGCTAGGATGGTTGTGCCCACATCTATTTGCCTAAGGAGAGACAAATCCTAGTCATCAGCAATGCAAGCTCGCAAATGCATGTGACCTTGCCCTTACTATGCTGGGCCTCGCCTGCAGTTGTCCACAGAGGGCATGGCACAAGGCACTAGCTTGTCACAGCCCTCCCAGTTGGACAGAACCCCACCGCAGCCTGGCCACATCTGGCAAAGTCACAAATTTAGCTGAGTGTATATATAGTTGCTATATTATTTCCAACTATCCCAGAAACTGCGATGCAGGCCCCAAAAAGTAATTGTTAAGCCCTTGCAAGCTTGCCACAAACCAGCAGTCCACTATATAGATAATGGTCGCGAACGTTACTTTGTCACTTTATCCGACATTCTCCTGTTTCTTTTCGGCCGAATGAATTGCAAAAAATGAGCTGAGCGTCACTCCAAACATCTACATGAAATGTTCAAGCACCTTTCTGTGAGGTTGTCAGGGGATGTGTTCACATGTTTTGTGGTCCGAGGTGGAATGTTGGCAGACCAAAGACATGCCTAGTTGGCAGTCGGAAGAGAGGTTGCTACAGGGCAAAGCAAAAAGGCACGAGAACACTGTCAGTGTCACATGCACACATGACGATGAGGACAACACCTCTCTTGGAGTCGCTGTTTTGCGACAAAGTTGTGGAACGAAGTACAGGAGGGACAATTTCGGGTTTTCCAAATTCAGATTGCACAAAGGTGCCCACAAAGCCTCCTTTCCGTTTGGCCTGCTAGCTGCCAAGAAGAATGACGAAGAAAAACAGAAGTGAGTCTAAACAAACAACCTCTCAGCAGTCGTGATCCTCTTCATGATCAAATTGATCAAATGACACAAGAGGCGCATCATACAAATATACAAAAATAGTTATGTGACATTATGTGTGTATACTTCAGGAGGAAGGAAGCTTCTCATCATCCACGGTCGAATTTTTAAGTCCATTTTGCGTGGCCAGTGTGGGATGGTCAATGATCACCTGCTGTTCAATTTATGACATTAAAGAGCTTTGGAAGGAGAAAGTTTGACCGCTTGAGTTGCCATAAGTGTGTTCCAGGATTCTAAGGGGCCGGGGAAAGAGCTCTCAATTTGGAACCTTCAAGAAGAAAAGCATTTGTCCTAGTGGTGTAAGTATAGATATATATATATATATATATATGTATCTGCATTAATATACAGATTGAGAAACAGATCTTTACCTCTCTTCGCCGTCGTGTCAATGTTTCTTCCTTGACTCCTTAACATCCCTGAGTAGAAGCAACGTTCCGTCCTGGCAATGCTTGGCAGACCACCCTGGGCATTCCAGCAAACCCTTGGGCACAGCGCCACTCACCGTTGCTGTCCTTTCAACAGATTCAAGAGTCTTGCAGAACACGATACACTACAAGCAGCCTGTGTGAGATCCATGAAAGCCATGTGTTCACAAGATTTGCACTTGAAAGTCGCCCGCATCTAGTCAAGCGTGGTGTTGTTTAAGTTGAAAATATTCCATTTAGTCACTAGTCCTTGACGTAGCCCTGTTGAGCATCTGGCTCTGGGCAAGTGCAATTGGGCTCCCGCCACAAAAGCAGTCGGTCCCTTAGTTGTTAGGCTCTCTCCATCCAGGAGAGAGAGAGAGAGAGTAACAACTTGTCGCGTATCAATAAAGACAAAGCACAAAAGTATCCTCTCTCCAAGACTCTGAAATCTAAGGAAAAAAGTGTGTATATATATATATATGTATTATATATATATATATGTATATACTGTTATATAGATAGAGAGAGAGAGAGAAAAAAAAAAATAAACAAACTTTGAGCGTTCCGCACGACAATTCCACTTGCGTCAAGCGTTCGGCACGACAATTCCAACCTCATCCCTGGTCATGGTGAGTTGTTCTTTAAGCTTCTTTCTTCGATTTGCATACCTGGCCTTTCGATGACAAAAGAATGCTTTCCTTCCCCGCGCTCACTTGCGAACCGTCCAAAGTTCTGCCCCTCAGAGCCCTTCCCTTTCTTTAGGTTTCGGTTCTGGGCCTTTAGTGTTCAAAATGACCACCCACTCATCGAAAAAGAACGCTTTCTCTACAACCACAGTGTAAAGGACCTGTCGAACCACTTTTGTGCTCCAAAGCACTTGATGCTGTTGCCTCCGGGGCATTGTCCCATGGTGGTGGGACCCACTCGCACATAGGGTGCTGCGCAATCGATGACGCAGCTCTCGCCCGGGCCCACCATATCACATTGGGAAGTGTTGAACATGCACCTGTCATGCCAAGAAAAGCGAAGCGCTACGGAGACTCAGCAAATTCAGGCTGAAAGCTGCTGCTCCCTTTCAAAGCGCTACACCCATCGACGGTCAACTTGCCAGCCGTACCTTTTCTCTAGATCATCAATGGTGATACGGGCACAGGGCTGGCACATCGGCTTCCTTAGAAGGCGTTTGGGTGGCAAAACCTGTTCGCGCGTCCGGATGACCTTACATGTTGCTGCTGCGGTATACAATGTCTTGCTTGGGAAGTCTTGAAGCTGCATTGCGACATGAGTCATTCAGCAAACTCACCAAGTGTAGATTTGTGCAACACTGCCGCAGTATTGGTGGGCATGGGGTTGGCTCCCTCGAAAGCCATTCAGTTTTCACTCCCATGAACATTCATTGAACTCCAAAACTGCGAAGGATCTGGTCATATTTGTGTGCTATAGACTCATAGACTCATTTCCAACAATTAATCCAATACTCCTTGCATGTCCCGTCTCCAAAGTACCTTCGCTCTACCATCAACACTCCATTTGCCATGCTTCTGATCCACAAAGAACACAGCTGGCTTCGGAGCGCAGACTGGCTCCAAGGTCCTCGAACCAAGCTCGTGCTCGACGACAACCCAAACTCCAACGCCCAGAACAGTGAATGGGAGAGGCACCGAAGTTTGTGTTCCCCTCAGTTGCTGGCTACACCCATGTATGAAGAGCTATTAGTTTTGGCACTCCGATGAAATGGACCCAGCCCAGTTTGAATGTCTGCGACACACCTGGAGCGAAGAAAGTGATGCATGCTGCATGCAGCAATACATGTTCTTGGTGTCAGAATCAAAAGCAAGAAAAGCATCCTTTCTTGTCGGTTGGCAAAAGGAGAGAAATGGAGAGAGCACTGTGCTCACCCTGCGCGCCCTACTGCACTAAGGATGCCCTTACGCGAAGCTGAGGACCTTGCACCGACGCGGTGTCATTGGTTTCCTGGCAAGTGCTTGAGTCCGATGCGAGCACAAACAAACAAACAAACAAACAAACAGAACAAACAAACAGAAAAAACAACAACAACAACAACAACAACCACAACCACAACCACAACCACAACAACAACAACCACAACAACAACGTGGCGCAAGAGTGAGAAAAGCTTGGGAATGTGGACTGAAGGGGCACAGTGGTTCCAGCCCGGGTGTCCAAATGCTTCGACAGCTTCATATGAGCTACACTCAAGAAATATTCTGGGTGGCAGAAGATCATCAGTATCAGGATTTGGTGAGTGTACAATCGGCTTCCATGCCCATCAGGCTATCAGGTTATTGTTTTTCCCAGATAGCGAAGCTATGGGGTTCTGACTTCAAATAATTCCCCAGATAGCGAAGCTATGGGGTTCTTACTTCAATTACCAATGAGTTGCCCGCGCGCGCTTTCGAGACAGGTTGCTGGTGCTGGGTGCCGGTGCTGGTGCTGGTGCTAGGGCCGTACTGTTGTGCGCGCATACTTTTGCACGTCGCAACGTCAGGCTCTCAAGCGACCATTGCTTCAGCATGTTTCAGCATGATACACACACAATAGTCGTGCTGGATACTGCTTGGCCTTGGGCGAGTGAAGCCTACGGGCTTTGCTGGTTGCGCGCATACTTTTGCGCGCATAAACTTATACGTGCAAGATCATATGGCCTTGTCCTTCTACAGATCATTGCTTCAAGCATGCTACAAAGTCAATGGTGGCGCTGGATACTGCTTGGCCTTGGGCCAATGACGCTTACGGGCTTTTCTGCTTGCGCGCATACTTTTGCGCGCATAATCTTACACGCGCAAGATCATATATATACGTTGTTATTCCCCAAATAGGGATAGCTATCCGGTTCTTACTGCAAGTAAAAATGAGCTGGCTGCCCGCGCTTTCGAAAGGGCGTCGGTGTTGTGGTCCTGGGTGTTGGTGCTGCGAGCTGGCTGAGCGCGCGTTTATTAAGACGGGCGGCGGCGCTGGTCGGGCGCTGGTGCCGCTGCCGGTGTTGTCAGCTGGCAGAGCGCACCGGCGCTGGTGTCAGCTGGCTGTGCGCACTGTGGAGGCGCCGTATGCTGGCTGCGCAGGCTGCGTACATTCTTGTTCCAGCCAGTCGCATGTCAAAAGGTCGTGGGATTCTGCCTAGCTATCTGGGTCTATGCTGGTGTAATTGATAAAAAGACGAAGTTCAAGCAAAACATTCCATGACCACTCACTGATTCATTTTGACCCAAAACAAGTACCACATATTGCAAATGGAGCAAATACACTCTGAGGGTATCCCCTCAAACTGTGTAGGTGGAAAGTCAAGTTTTCTGTCAACCAGGCATAACTTTCTTGTTGCGATGCATTTCAGAAGGTAAGTCATATTGTATATGTACGTACGTGCTGCACTGTTCATGTGATCTTAATTCATCTTCTAAACAGGCATGACATATCAAATGCGATGAAATTACCTCGAAAGGGAACTACCAGCAAGACCATATCACCTTAACAGCTGAAGTTCAAGGTCCGCCATTCAACGGATTTTCAGAAAATGCGTCAAACGTTATGACATGGTGTCCTGCAGCAGTCGCTCCCCTCGTAGGTTCTCAAAACCTAGGAGACCAGAAAAGTCGAGCAAAGCTAAAGAGATTCACCCTGAAGCTCTCAGGAAGGCTAGCTGTACCTTGCTTCAAACTACAAAACTTTGCATTTCGACTCGTACTTGATTTCGGCTATATATTGAGGAAACTTATCTTTTAGCCCAGTCTGTTAACTCTCGACCATATTCAGCCAACTTGCCAGCGGCGTGTGCCAGTAAAAGCGCCAGCATGTATGCCTCCCCACTCCAGAAAGGCAAGGTTCCCAAGCGAAAGAATCGCATCAAAACTGACAAAGCTTTCCGACATCAATCCTGACATCTCCGCCTCCATGAGGCGCGGTCCATGCATCCGCACAGAGAC